TCCATTTATCTTGATGTTGCTTATTGGTCCAGTTGTGAGGATTTTTGTTTTCTTTATGTTGAGGTGTAATCCATACTGAAGGCTGTGGTCTTTGATCCTCATTAGGAAGTGCTTCAAGTCCTCTTCACTTTCAGCAAGCAAGGTTGTGTCATCTGTATAATACAGGTTGTTAATGAGTCTTGTCTTCCTCCAATCCTGATGTCCTGTTCTTCTTTATATAGTCCAGTTTCTCACATTATTTGCTCAGCATACAGATTGAATAGATATGGTGAAAGGATACAACCCTGACACACACCTTTCCTGATTTTAAACCACGTAGTATCCCTTTGCTCTGCTCAGACGACTGCCTCTTGATCTATGTACAGGTTCCTCATGAGTACAATTAAGTATTCTGGAATTCCCATTCTTTACAATATTATCCATAATTTGTTATGATCCACACGATCGAATGCCTTTGCATAGTAAATAAAACACAGGTAAATATCTTTCTGGTATTCTCTGCTTTCAGCTTGGATCCATTTGACATTAGCAACGATATCCTTCATTCCATGCCCTCTTCTGAATCTGGCTTGAATTTCTGGCAGTTCCCTGTCGATATACTGCTGCAGCTGCTTTTCAATGTTCTTTAGCAAAATTTTACTTGTGTGTGATATTAATGACATTGTTTGATAATTTCCACATTCTGTTGGACCATCTTTCTTGGGAATAGGCATAAATATGGATCTCTTCCAGTCAGTTGGCCAGGTAGCTGTCTTGCAAATTTCTTGGCATAGATGAGTGAGTACCTCCAGCACTGCATCCTTTTGCTTAAACATCTCAATTGGTATTCTGTCAATTCCTGGAGCCTTGTTTTTCGCCAGTGCTTTCAGTGCAGCTTGGACTTCTTCCTTCAGTACTATCAAATCTTGATCATATGCTACCTCCTGAAATGGTTGAATGTCAACCAATTCTTTTTAGTATAGTGACTCTGTGTATTCTTTCCATCCTTTTTTGATGCTTCCTGCGTCATTTAACATTTTCACCGTAGAATCCTTCACTATTGCAACTTGAGGCTTGAATTTTTTCTTCAGTCTTTTCAGTTTGAGAAATACAGAGTGTGTTCTTCCCTTTTGGTTTTCTATCTCCAGCTCTTTGCACATGTCATTATAATATTTTACTTTGTCTTCTTGAGCCACCCTTTGAAATCTTCAGTTCTTTGATGTCATCATTTCTTCCTTTTGCCTTAGCTACTCGATGTTCAAAAGCAAGTGTCAGAGTCTCTTCTGACATCCGTTTGGTCTTTTCTTTCTTTCCTATCTTTTTAATGACCTCTTGCTTTCTTCATGTATGATGTCCTTGATGTCATTCCACAACTCATCTGGTCTTCAGTCATTAGAGTTTAATAAGTCAAATCTATTCTTGAGATGGTCTCTAAATTCAGGTGGGGTATACTCAAGGTTGTACTTTGGCTCTCATGGGTTTCTTCTAATTTTCTTCAGTTTCGACTTGAATTTGCATATGAGCAATTGCTGGTCTGTTCTGCAGTTGGCCCCTGGCCTTGTTCTGATGATATTAAGCTTTTCCATTGTCTCCTTCCACAGATGTAGTCAATTTGATTCCTGTGTATTCCATCTGGCGAGGTCCACTTGTATAGTCGCCATTTATGTTGGTTAAAAAAACGTATTTGTAATGAAGAAGTTGTTGGTCTTGCAAATTTTCATCATGCAATCTCCAGAATCATTTCTATCACCAAGGCCATATTTTGCAACTACTGATCCTTCTTCTTTGTTTCCAACTTTCACATTTCAGTCACCAGTAATTGTCAATGCATCTTGATTGCATGTTCGATCACACACTGTAGAAGTTGGTAAAAATCTTCAATTTCTTCCTCTTTGGCCTTAGTGGTTGGTGTGTAAATTTAAATAATAGTTGTATTAACTGGTTTTCCTTGTAGGTGTATGGATATTATTATGGATATTATCCTGTCACTGTCAGCGTTGTACTTCAGGATAGATCTTGAAATGTTCTTTTTGACGATGAATGCAATGCCATTCCTCTTCAACTTGTCATTCCCAGCATAGCAGACCATATGATTGTCTGATTCAAAATGGCCAATACCAGTCCATTTCAGCTCACTAATACCTAGGATGTTGATATTTACACGTTCCACTTCATTTTGGATGGTTTCCAATTTTCCTAGATTCATACTTTGTACATTCCACGTTCTGATTATTAATGGATATTTGCAGCTGTTTCTTCTCATTTTGAGTTATGCCACATCAGCAAACGAAGTCCTGAAAGCTTGACTCCATCCACGTCATTAAGGTTGACTCTACTTTGAGGAGGCAGCTCTTCTCCAGTTGTATGTTGGCTGCCTTCCGACCTGAGGTGCTCATCTTCCAGCAGTCTACCAGATAATGTTCTGCTGCTATTCATAAGGTTTTCACCGGCTAACTCTTTTCAGAAGTAAGCCGCCAGGTCCTTCTTCGTAGTCTGTCTTAGTTGGGAAGCTCAACTGAAACCTGTCAGTCACGGGTGACCCTGCTGGTAATTGAATACCGGTGGCACTGCTTCCAGCTTTGGGAGTTAGACACATTCAAATCCTATTGTCACTTTTAGATGTATGACTTAGGAAGAATAAGATAACCACTCTGATATTTGGTCTCCTCATTTGGAAAATGGGAATAGTAATGTCTACCTCAGAGTTGCTATGGGTTTGAATGAGAGAATAAACACAAACTTCTTAGCAGTGTCCAACTCAGGATGAGGTTTGTATTTGCTTTTCCTATTGTTTGTTAAATGGCTTATGAATTATGCCACAATAATACAACAATTATTGAATTACATTCCTAAAAATGTGAAAATGGAAAAGCATGATTTACCAGTGTGGGCAACCCAGTGCAGTGCTCTATGGAGGCAGCTAGGTGCTCATGAGAAGACACAGGCCACAGAGACCTCTCTCTGAATGCTGGCTTTGTCTCCTGGCATCTTGTGGACTTAGCACGTCACTGAGGCTCTCTGAGCCTGTGTCCTTGTTGGCAAACTGGAAAAATATTATATATATATGTCTCAGTGGGTTGATGTATTAAATTTATAAAACACAGGGCTGGCCCCAGGGTAATTAATAAAAGTAGCTGGCTTTACTACTATTCCACTTATGGTTACTGTTTTCAGAAAGGTGTCAGATTTATAGTAGTAGGCCTGCCTTCAAGTTCACTTACTGTTACTTTCTACCTAGGTTGCACCCTCATTTTTGGCTTTATCTTTTCTTCAATTAGGAGAAATAATATCTACTTAGGAGGAAAAGGAGCCCTGTTGGCACAGTGGTTAAGAGCTACGGCTGCTAACCAAGAGGTGGGCAGTTCGAATCCACCAGCTGCTCCTCGGAAACCCTATAGGGCAGTTCTACTCTGTCCTATAGGGTCACTATGAGTCAAAATCGACTTGGTGGCAACGGATTTGTTTTTTTTTTGTTTTAGGAGGAAAAAGACAGATGTAGGAATTAAATCAGAAAATATCAGTGAAAGTGCTTTGATAATGAAGCACTGTTTATAGTGTTGGAGCCCTGGTGGCACAGTTGTTAAGAGCTTGGCTGCTAACCAAAAGGTCAGCAGTTCAAATCCACCAGCTGCTTCCTAGAAACCCTATGGGGCAGTTCTACTCTGTCCTACTGGGTCGCTATGAGTTGGGATCGACTCAATGGCAATGGTTTTGGTTTATAGTGTTATCTGAAATTGCTCAATTTTTTTTACAATCCTGTAAGAAAATAGACTCTGAAATGTTTCCTTTTATCAAGAGTGACTTCTTGACTGTCTTTTAAAACTTGCAAAAGAAGGAACAGCTCTGTGCTCTGTGGCAGCTGGGGCAGGGCTCACTAACCTTCTTCCACTGGTTTAACTTGACCTTCACCCACTGGGCCACCCTCAGCATCAGTCGTTTTCTTAAGGAACCGGCTGAGGTAATGCAAACGAGCCTGAGAAGCCTAAAGAACAAATATTATCAGCATTTTATGCTCTTTGAAAATAACAAACAGTATAGGCAACAACATGTTAATAGTAGTCAAAAGGAACAGAAAAATGTGAATTGAATAGGGCATCTGAGCCAGGCCAGCCCTTATTAATGAGCAAATATACTCAAATACTGAACCATCAATGATTTTGATGAAGCCATTTTTGAGAAATAATGAAGTAGCAATCCTAAAACAAATACTTTGGGCATGCTATGTTCGATTCAATTGCTCCTGAACCTTTTTCATCTGCCCCAATAATCCTGAATTGGAACATGGAAACTTAAAACATAACATATTTCACCACGGCGGAGGTTCTTAAAGAAAGTAAGAGGGAAAGAAGAGAAGGAAGCATATATTCCACAAGGGGGCAGCACATGATCTTATTTATCTACGACTGCTCAAAGAACATGAACACAAATATTAAACATTTCTGTGCATGCTTACTTGGGGATGTTAACAGCAGATGCGGACACAGCCAGGAATGTGTGAAAGAAGGCGTTAACCCATGGTTTGGACTTGTAAGTGGTATCACTATGTGCTTTGCTTTTGTAAGTCTTTTGAGTACGAGGAGGCCAACATCCACAATGTATTTACACGTGGTCCTAACATTTAGTTAGTAAATCTCTGATAAACTTCCAGATTGAGAAGGGAAAGACTATGTGGTTTCTACAACATGGCCTTTCCTTCAAAAAGCGCCTACGGATGGACGGTTAAAGAAAGGACAGCCTTTCAAACTCAGGCTACCTTGATTGCTCTTCCTGGCTCAGTTATCTCCCAGGCTTGTTTCATGGCTCGGATTTCATCGGCTCGCTCTGTATCTTTTTTCACTTCAAGTAAGTCGGCTTCGCTGTGTTCAGTGACCAACCTCAAAACCCAGTAGGGTTTATTTGGGTCGTCTTGTTGAGAATGAGCAGCAGGCATCTGATGAAATAAAATGAAAACGTTTAGGTCAGATGCTTTCTTTCTTTCAAAACGGTCTAGATTTTACCCTATGACCCATAATTTCAATCTTAGGTACTTATCCAAAAGAAAGAAAGAACATATATATATATATACACACACACACAAAGACATGTATAAGAATATGCATTGCAGCCTCATCAATAATAGGAACAATTGAATACAAAATAAGTGTCCATCAACTGATGGAGAAGCGAATGATAAAATGGTCATATGATTGAATACTACTTAACAATAAAATAGTAAACTACTGAGGTACGCCCTGGAGTGGTTGGACTCACAGATATTATAGAGGTAGAGATTTGGGCACAAAAGAGTTTATCTTATAAAGTTCATTTGTATGAAATTCCAGAACAGGCAAAACTAATCTATAGTGATAGAGAGCAGATAGTGGTTGCCTGGAGGCGAGTGTGGGATGAGAGAATCGACTGCAAACAAGAATTGAGGGAAATTCTGAGACCATGGAAATGTTCTATAATCTAGACCTTGTGAGAGGTGTGGTTTATGTGGTGAATGTATTTGTCGACACTGAGTTGTACAATTGAGACTTTTACATTCCACTTTATGCAAATAAGGAGCCTTAGCGGCACAGTGGTTAAGCGCTTGGCTGCTAACCTAAAGGTCAGGTGCTCAGAGGTAGAAAGATGTGGCAATTTACTTCCATAAAGATTACAGCCTTGTAACCCTATAAGGCAGTTCTACTCTGTCCTATATAGAGTCTGTGAGGTGGAATCGACTTGACAGCAATGGGTTACAGGTCTGCAAATACTAAATAAAGTTGGAAACAAAAAGAATTCTAAATTGTACTTATACCCATTCATAGACTCTTTTTAGAAAAATAAGAGCAGGAACAGTAACAGATCATTATTTCCAGGTCTGGATATACTTAGTATATACTCATTATCCCTCTTCTGGACAATAGGTGGGAGAAGATTGAAATAAGGCTTCAAAATTTCTACCTGGGTTAGGCTTATATGTAGCAATCTTGTAGGAAAAGAGGTTTGAACTTACATGGTTACACAGCAGTTATCCAAGATTGAGACAATGTCAGGTATCCATGTTAAATAATGGAGTTGGGGGAAGACACTGCCACTTAATAAAGATTTCACAGTTAGTTTGGTTTTAGTGTTACCAAAAAGATGTCCTTGCTTTCTACAATATTGTTGCTGTTGTTAGGTGCCTTCAAGTCAGTTCCGACTCATAGCAACCCTACATAAAACAGAAAGAAACACAGCCCAGTCCTGTGCCATCCTCACAATCATTGCTGTGTTTAAGCCCATTGTTGCAGCCCTACGTCAATCCATCTCATTGAGGGTCTTTATCTTTTTTGCTGACCCCCCTACTTTACCAAGCATGATGTCCTTCTCCAGGGACTGGTCCTTCCTAACAACATGGCCAAAGTATGTGAGACGAACTCTCACCAACCTCACTTCTAACAAGCATTCTGGCTGTACTTCTTCCAAGACAGATTTGTTCATTCTTCTGGCAGCCTGTGGTATATTCAGTATTCTTCGCCAACACTATAATTCAAAGGCATCAATTCTTCTTCAGTCTTCCTTATTCATTGTCCAGCTTTCACATGCCTATGAGGCGACAGAAAGTACCATGGCTTGGGTCAGGCGGACTTTAGTTCTCAAAGTGACATCTTTGCTTTTTAACACTTTGTTGTTATTGTTAGGCATCTTTGAGTCAGTTCCGACTCATAGCAACCCTATGTACAGAAGAACAAAACACTGCCCGGTCCTCCACCATCCTCACAATTGTTATGCTTGAGCTCATTTTTGCAGCCACAGTGTCAATCCATCTCACTGAGGTTTCTTCCTCTTTTTCTTTTTTTTATTTGTTTCTATTTAATTGTATTTTAGATGAAGGTTTACAGAACAAATAGTTTAGCATTAAACAGTACACATATTGTTTTATGACAATAGGTCTTCCTCTTTTTCGCTGACCCTCTACTTTACCAAGCATGATGTGCTTCTCCAGGGACTGGTCCCTCCTAATAACATGTCCAAAGTATGTGAGATGAAGTTTTGCCATCCTTGCTTCTAAGGAGCATTCTGGCTGTACTTCTTCCAAGACAGATTTGTTCATCCTTCTGGCAGTCCATGGTATAGTCAACATTCTTCACCAACACTATAATTCAAAGGCATTAATTCTTCTTCAGTCTTCTTTATTCATTGTCCAGCTTTTGCATCATATGAGACGATTGAAAACACCATGGCTTAGGTCAGGCACACCTTAGTCCTTAAAGTGACATCTTTGCTTTTTTTAACACTTTAAAGAGGTCTTTTGTAGCAGACTTGCTCAATGCAATACATCATTTGATTTCTTGACTGCTGCTTTCATGGGCATTGACTGTGGATCCAAGTAAAATGAAATCCTTGCCAACGTCAATCCTTTCTCCATTTACCACGGTATTGCTTCTTGGTCCAATTGTGAGGATTTTTGTTTCTTTATGTTAAAGTGTAATCCATACTGAAGGCTGTAGTCTTTGTAGCTGTTATTGTTAGCTGCCATCAAGTTGGTCTCTGACTCATGGTGACCTCATGTATTACACAGCAGAACTGCTCCATAGGATTTTCTTGGCTATTATCTTTACAGAAGCAATTCACCACTAGGCCTTCCATGGAGAAGCTGAGCAGGTTCGAACCACCAACCTCTAGTTTAGAAACCTATCACAAATCGCTTGTGCCACCCAGACTTATTCCCAACTAATATTCTGATGAGAACTGAAATCTCACAATTAGAAATTCTTTTATTTCTTTTTAAAACACAGTACATTAGCTTTTGCCTATCTTTTAAAATTCTTGATAAATGAGTTCATCAGAAACTTCTCTGGGATCAAGTTCTGATCAGGGAAGGGAGCACTCTAAAGGTATTAAGGGAGGGTCAAGTGTCTCTTAGGAAGTTCTAGATTGGGTAGAGTTTATTTAATTCATAAGGTTTCCAAGGGAAAAGGCCAGCTAAGAAACAAAATCATGGAATGTAAATGGACACGTTTTTCCATTATAGGGGTATGGGAAAACCAAGTCATCATCTCTTCTCCCAATTTGTTAGTATTCCTTTGTTGTCTATTTTACTAGCGGTACCAAGATACTATTCAGTTAATCAAGCTGGGAATCTGGGAGATATCCTTTGTTCTTTCTTATTCCCTGCTGCCTACTTTGGAGTATAATTGCATCTCCCTTTTTTTTTTTTTCCTAGATAGTTCTTTACTGTTTCCTTCTTACCTTCTTTTGACATCTTCCTTGTACAGCTTATACTCTCTTACCTGGACTACTGCAGTACTTTCTTGAATAGTTTCCCCATCTCTAGTCTTGTCCCCTTTAAATCCATATCAGGTTGATCTACCTGAAATGTAAATCTGATTATGTCAATATGCTTCTTAAAACCCTCCTACTGTTCCTATGCACTGATCACAAATGGAATTCCCGGAGTGGAGTAAATGGATAAGCATTCGACTAACTGAAAGGTTGGTGGAATCTACCCAGAGGCACCTTGGAAGAAAAGCCTGATGACCTGCTTCCGAAAAGTCACAGCCTTGAAAATCCTATGGAATGCAGTTTTACTCTTCAATATGTGGGGTCATCGCCATGAGTCGCAGTTGACTCAAGAGATGGCATCTGGTTTGGTTTTTGGAATAACAAATAGTAAGAAGATTTTGTCCTCTTAGGTACTTTGTTTTGAGTGCAGTGCTTTTAGATAATTTGAGTTTGAATATCTTTGGGTCTGTGCTTGCACTCTTCAGATTTTCACTCATATTCTCTTCCTTCCCCATAATCACTGGGATAACTTAACTTGCCCTGAAGGAGTTAGGAATCATTACCTCTGGACTGTAGATAAAGCCCCAATCTTCTAATGGGGCTTATAAGGTCCTCCTCCATCTGAACTTTACTTACCCCTCAAGCCTCATCTCTTGTACTTCAATGTTTCAAAAACCCAGACCGAATTGGCTTTTGCCTCAGTATGTTTTGCTCATGCTGTTTTCTCCTTCTGGAATGCATTTTTCTCCACCTATCTCTTCTAAGCCCTTCACCTAGATAACTCTCATTCATCCCATGAGGTTCAGTTCAAGACAGTAATCCTCCTAGTACAGGCTGGATTAGGTGAGTACTCTTTCTGCATATACAACCTGTAACATTAAAACTGTTTACCTTCAGTCTCCTCCATTAGACTGTGAATCCTTTGACTGTATTAATCTAAAAAATCTGAGTCCCAAGAACAGTGTCATACATAGTAAATATTTAGTTAATATTTTTTGATACTGAACAGAATTAACTGTTTAGGGGAAGATCTTGGGAGAAGGTGTCCATGGAATGTCCTCAAGGCATCTAGGTGGTTGCTGCAATCAGGAGATGGGAATTTGTCTCAGGAGAGAGGGTCAAATAGGGAACCAATGAACCTAATTTTAGTAAGTGACTCCAATAAGTTAAGTACTACACTCACCTGGAGCTCAAACCGAGGTGCTTGTTTTTCTTTGGCTGTCTTGTCTTTCTCAGAAGACTTTTCTTTGCCTTTCCTTGTTTTGGAAGTCCCTGAAGACTTTTGTCCCTCGCTAATAGTATGGGAATCCGGGCTTCCCAAGGTAATTGATTCCTCATGTTTCTCTGCATGAGCTAGAGGGACAAAATGAAAACCAGTAAGTCATGACATGAGAATAAAATAATTTCTTGTGGGGACAAGGGAAGCAGGTCAGGGAAGAATGCTTAGATTTCTTTCTTTTTCATCTCTTTTCATTTCTTTCCTTTCTAAATAAGCAAATAGACTCTTCAATGGCTCTGTTTTTTAAAAAAATGAGATACAATTCATATACCACAAAATTCACCATTTTAAAGTGTACACATCAATGGTTTTTAGCATATTCACAAAGTTGTGTAACCATCGCCACTATCTAATTTGTTTCAAATCTGGATGCCTTGTATTTCAGTTTCTTACCTATTTGCCCTGGCTAGTACCTCCAGTACAGTATTAAATAGAAGCAGCGAGAGTGACCATCCTTGTCTTATTCTGGATCTTAGCAGAAAAGCTTCAGCCTTTCGCCATTAACTATGATGCTAATTGTGAGATTTTTGTAGATGCTCTTTATCACTTCTATTTCTAATCTGTTGAGTGCTTTCATCATGAGAGTGTGTTGGATTTTGTGAAATACTTTTTCTGTACCTATTGAGATAATTGTATGTGTTTTTTCTTTATTCTATTAATGTGATGTATTACAATAAATGATTTAAAAAATTTTTTTATTGTACTTTAGGTGAAGGCTTACAGAACAAATAGTTCCTCATTAAACAGTCAATACACATATTGTTTTATGACATTGGTTAACAACCCCATGACATGTCAACACTTTCCCTTCTCGACCTTGGAAGACCTTTTCTTTTTATTTTGGTGAAAATATACATAGTCAAAGATACACCATTTCAAAAATTTCTACATCTACAATTCAGTGACATTGACTACGTTCTTCCAGTTGTGCTGCTATTCTCACTATCCTTTTCTAAATTATTCCATCACCAACAATAAATGATTTTTGTATGTTAAACCAACCTTGCATTACTAGGATAAATTCTACTTGGTCATGGTGTGTAATCCTTTTTATAAGCTCTGGTTTTGGTTTGCTACTATTTTGTTGAGGATTTTTTTGCATATATATTTGGGAAGGATATTGTTCTGTTGTGTTCTTTCCTTGTGATAAATTTTTCTGATTCTGCTTATCAGGGTAATATTGGCCTTACAGAATGAGTTTGGGAATGTTCCCACCTCTTCTATTATTCAGAATAGTTAGTGAAGGATTGGTGTTAGTTCTTTAAACTTTCAGTAGAATTAATCAGTGAAGCCATCTGGTCCTGAACTTTTCTTTGTGCAAAGTTTGTTGATTAGTAATTTAATCTCTTTACTTGGTATAGATCTACTGAATTTTTTAATTTCTTTTTGAGTAAGTTTTAGTAATTTGCATCATTCTATTAATTTTTCCATTTCATCTAGGTCATCTAATTTGTTGGCATGCAATTGTTCATAGTATCTAGCTTCTGGACTGCCAGAAGAATGAACAAATCCATCTTGGAGGAACTACAGCCAGAATGCTCCTTAAAAACGAGGATGGTGAGACTTCATTTCACTTACTTTGGACATGTTATCAGGAAAAACCAATTTCTAGAGAAGGGCATCATACCTGGTAAAGCAGAAGGTCAGCGAAAACGAGGGAAACCCTCTATGAGATGAATTAACACGGTGGCTGACACAATGGACTCAAACATGCCAGCAATCATGAAGATGGCACAGGACCAGGCAACATTTCGCTTTGTTATACATAAGGTTGTCATGAGTTGGAGCCGACTCCAAGGCAAGTAACAACAATTCACCCCATTAGCCAAGTAAAACAGTAATTGTAAATAATCCAATCTCATTGATAAGTTGATGCCCCGTTATTAGCTACTTTCAAACTGGAGACAGATCACCCTGAAAAGCTTCAGAGGGACTTTGAGCACCATCATTTTATGAGACGCAGTGGCCTGAACTTCTCCTTTGGTGCAACTTGTCCTTCTGCCAACAGTCCCTGCTGCTGAGAAGTGCTGTGCTGGGGAAAATCCTTTGGTCAAACAATTACATTACTTGGATGTGACTCTTGGCTAGCCACTGGATAGGTTAACTCTGGCAAGTTTATTACATTCTTTAAGCCCAAGTGTCCTTCTCTCTATAATGGAGATATTAATGCTGTACCCACAGGGCATAAAATAACTAGTAGAACACTTAAAATAGGATCAAACCTAGCATCATACTTCCTGGGTTTTTAAGATGCTTAACAAATGTCAGCTGAGATTGAATTGCAAGGTGCCCCATGAAGAAATCACTGATGGTTAATGAATCTAGGGGCTGATATTGACCAGGGAGAGAGGAAGCAAAATCAGTAAAATAGAGAGCTGATAGATCTCTGGGTCGAGTTGTAACAGCAGGAAAGCTGAAGTCAACCACCCAAGAATTCATATAAAGGATGTGAAAGGGTAGGACTCAAATGAAGTTTTATTTTTAACCCAAAGTTGAATTTCCTAAGAATACAGTAGATAGAAATCTTCAGTGGATTAAAAAAAAACTATAAAAATTACAAGAATGAAATTTCATTTTTAGGATTAAAATTCAGTGCTCAGATTTTTATATCCAAGGATTAAAAATTGATTGAGATTTGAACATTCACATAGTTTCTAAACTGGAATACTTGTTTAGGACAAAGTAAACATTCGTTAAGTACAATCAGACTTTGTAAATGTATACAGGAAAATTGCTTTTAATATACATATATGTCAAATAGGATTCCCCGGGTGGGGAGTGCAAATGGTTAAGTGCCAGACTACTAATCGAAAAATTGGCAGTTCAAACCACCCAGAGACATCTTGGAGGACAGGCCTGGTGATCTGTTTCTGAACGGTCACAACCTTGAAAACCCTATGGAGAAGTTCTATTCTGTATACATGGGGCCACCATGAGTCAAGGTCACCTCTATGGCAACTAACAACAACAATATGTCTAACAATGTTTGGCTTCTTCAAAGACCTTGAATTGGGTACATTATACATTCGTTGCATTGAATAACAAACAACAATACAATATTGGAATTATGCTAAGAAAATAATGTTATAATTCTGCTAATAAAATTGAACAGGACTTGCAACCAAATATTTTTGAGAACAATAAAGTTTATACAATAGATTAGAACTTCTGAATATTACAGGTCAGCAATGAAAAAATGCAACATGTTGGCAAAATAAATCTGAAATAACAACATCGATAATTATACTTGATGGAAAATGATATCACTAAGTCCTATCTGCTCAAGATTCTCCAGTTTTCTATTACAGTAAGTGCAAACAGTAAGTAAGCAATTCTTATTAATTTTAGTTATTAAAATGGACTGAAGGTGGCACTGTTGCCTCAGTTTAACCAGAGGGCATGCTTCCTAAAAATTTACAACAGAAAGATTCCAGGTTTTATATAGCTATATTTCAGGCCTTATTTTTATTGTGGGTTATAAAGAAGTGAATTTTGGAAAAAATCAAATTATTTCTCATAGATATTAACTGTTAACTTTAAATGATTAAGTGGGGTCAACATTTCCAATGACTTCAGATGTAGTATCTGAAGAAGAAAAAAAAATGACTAATTTTTTCTTAAGTATATTTATATTTTAAAGTAAGCTAATAATTGGAAGACATTAATAATTAATTTTTATAAAATATATAATATCCTTAAAGTTTGTAGGTTTTGAGTTCTATATAGTTGAAACACAGCAATAGATGTATTTTTGATTTAAAGAAGTTGATATTCTAAAAATCCACATTTATAAACATGATATTAAAGATTGATTATTCCAAATTCAAAAGGTACTTGACTTTCAAAAAGATTGTTCAACATATTCTTTCAAAAAAGGAAAAGTGTCCTAGTTCATTTTAAACACAGTTCAATTCCAATTTTCTTTGCTGTTGCTTTTTAACCAAAAATGTACTATGCAATGCAAGGTATAATTTAATTTCAGCAGCTGCTCAGTCATACATAAAATTGTCAAATGTGACGTCAAAAAGCACACATACAATTATTCCTGAAGACTTATTTTCTAGTTGGAATACATAATAATGGTAAGTCCATTTTTTGAGTGCTACCAGGTTTTAGGAACCTTACATGTGTTATCTTAAATCTTCACAACAACCTTGAAAGATATTAATTATTCTAATATACAGGTGATAAATAACTCAGGTTCTGGTAGCTGAACCTAGGATTTTTTAGCCACTATAAACCAGTTGCCGTAGAGTCGAGTCTGACTCACAGAGACCCCATGTGCAAAAGTGTAGAACTGTGCTCCATGGGGTTTTGAATGGCTGATTTTTCAAAAGTAGATCGTCAGGGCTTTCTTCCAAGGAACTGCTGGGTAAACTTGAACCTCCAACTTTTTGTTTATTGTTTCAACTGTTTGCACCACGCAAGGACTTCTTAGCCACTATACTATGCAGTGGGAATCTAGTAGACAGCACTAGTCCGTCATATTATGCAGTACTATCCTATTTAATGACTTCCCTTTTAAAAACTTAATTGGTATGATTAACTCTGTACTGTCACCCAACCTTATATATTTACATTACTCTACTTTATGACTACAATTGTGTTCATTTTGGACGTGACTTATTTTCTTTAGTTTTCTCCTAGAATTTTAAAATGTATTTATTAATATACCTAAACTTATTCAATGTGATCGTTTGCTATCGTTGTTTGTTTACTGGAAATTCTTTTATGTCGGACAACTTGAAGTTGAGAAATTTAAAAGATCTTAAGGAAAAACATAATAAAGTCCTTGAGCTTGACTACTAACCTAGAAGTTTGTGGTTCGAATCTACCTGGGGTACTACGGAAGAAAGACTTCGTGACTGCTTACACAAAGATTCAGCCAAGAAAATCCTAGGAGCAGTTCTATTCTGTAATACATGGGGTCGCCATGAGTGGGAATTTACTTGATGGCAGTGAGTTTTTTGGAAAGTAAAGTAATATAGGCAGAATCCTAAATAAAAACATTTATCAGGGATACAATAAAGATCTGAAATTGGTGCTACTATATACTATAGTTCTTTTTTTTTTT